AGTTGGGACACGCACCCGGGCGCGAGCTCAGAGTTGGACTTGCCAGCCAGCCCAACGATTCCCGTTCGTTTCAGAGCCTGAACGCACTCGATCTGGCCCAGCTCATATCCACCGCTGCGCACGGGGGGGCGATGCGCCCCACGGCGGGCGAGAATGTGCTCGCCGCCACCCAACTCACCTGCGCCAGAAACACCCGCTAGACATAGACGGAAATTCAGTTTTTTCCCAAAAGGTGATCCTTTGACTACAATGTCGTCCACATGCGTGGGGGCCGATGAAGCGAGCTCGCCGTCGCGGTGTTTGGCGATGAACTCATTGTATTGCGATCCTGGTGAATTGGACGGGCCGGCATCTCGGGGCAGATTTGCACCTGGTGCCTGGCATCTCCGCGTGGGGGACTTCAAGCGCTAGGGCGAGACCTTCGCGCCCCTTGTACTTCGCGCAAGACTGCGACGGCGTCGGGGGATAAAGCTCAAAATTGACCTCGCCCTTCCTCGCCCTTTGCCGCTGAAAGCACCTGGTAGCTGACTCGTCGCAGGAAGGCCTTCTCGACGCCCCGCGCACCGATCGCCCGTGCTCAGCAGGCAGCCTCGAAGACAATCGCGCGCTGGGAGAGCCGTTTTAAGTCGCATGCGTAAGTGGCGATGAGATCAGCACCGGCGTCAATGAAGCCTCGGAGGGTCAGCCTAGCGCGGGCGATCCGAACCATCTGAGATGCGCCTGCTTTGATTCGTGCCGATTTCCCCTTTACCTTCTCAACTCCAACCAAGGATGTCGCGCGGTTCTCGGCGAAGCAGCCGCGCGAAGCTGGGGATCTACCCGAATGGGCAGCTCCTAGAGCACAGCGGCAGTGATGGCCGCGGCGTGCTCTCGAAACTCTTCGGGGCCCTTTTAGGCCAATGTCAAGTTCGGCAACTGCCTTCGCGTAAACCTGGAGGCGCGCACGGCGATCGTCGGGACAAGGTGATCCAGCATGTGCTCGTGCATCGCGTCCGGGGCCAATATTTCCCACGTTGGCGTTTCCGGCTTCATCGAGGTCAACAGCCTGCGTAATCTCGAGGGGTGCAGCACCTATTGTGAAGTAGTGGTGCTACTGCCGCACCTCTGTGGGCAGGACTTGAAGAAATGGACATGACGGAGAAGGTTGGGTCTCTGCCTCTAGGATCTCCTCGAAGGTGACCGATTCTGTGAATTGCACATCCTTCACGACTGCCTGTCGGTCGTGCGTTGCGGGAGTCCACCATGTGATGTCAACGAGGTAGTGGTCGCTCTAGGAGTCTTCGTGGGGCCCCTCCTCTGCGATGGATAACCTCCCGCCGTCGTGCGTGGAATCGTCGGGGCGCGTGCCAGCTTCCGAAGGATCGGCCATGCTTCCATTAGCCCGTGCCACGTAGCGCTCATTTTCCACGACATTTCCGAAGCAGTGTCCAGCTACCCCTCCAAACATGAGCCGCGGCACTGCGTTATGCGATTCGGGGCAGTCGCATCCGTCTTGTCGTTGGAGCGCGCGGGGGCGTTAATCTCGCGAGTGATTCGCACTTGCGCGTGCCCCTGCCAAGGTCCGTCGATGATCTCTTCATTGCGGAACGGAAAGAATTGGCGGCGCACGCGCTGCACTGTGCAGCGCGCCCGGCGCGGTGCATGGGCGCGAAGCCATCGCGCCTGCGACGATGGGCCGGGGGCTGCAGCTGCAAACGCTCGGGCTCAATGTGAACGCGGATTGGCGAGGCTTCTGATGCGCACCTCCCACGGGCAAAATAATCAAATGGGGCTTGCGATGAGATGGCGCATTTTGCTGCGGTCGGAACCGGGGAGCTCGACAAGGCTTAGTCTACCAGCCTCGAAGTGTGAGGCAACCATGATGATGTTGTTGTCTATTTTGGTCGATGCCAAGGTCGGCGCAATCCGGGTGGCGCGATGCGTTCAGAAGGACATCTAACATTATTGCAGATGTGCCGAAACACGGCGCTAGCCCAGGGAGGAGCCTCGCGTTCATGCCCGACGCGAAGCTGTGGCCAGTGCCTGTGGGGTTGCGATGGGTCGAAGAACCTCGTGGCGCTCCTGTGGGCGAGTCGCTCCTCATCGCGGATACGTTTTCTGCTGTTGCCCTCGCAGTCGGACTGGATGTCCGAGGCGAAGTGCCCGTCGTTTGCAGGACAGCCATAAGCACCTTGCACCTGTCAGAGAATGAAGAGTGGTCCCGATGCGGAGGTGATGGCAAGCGCGAGTGTGCGTCCACACTGCACTCTTCCCACGTTCCGTGGGTCGCGAACTGGGGTCGCTCCCAGCTCAGCGACCAAGTAGAATTGCGGGAATTGGAAGCTGGAGAAGAAAAAGCATGGCGGCAATAAGATGTAGTTTGCGGAGCTTTAATTATTCATACAATATGCAGATGTGCGCCGACGCCCAGGGCCAAGCGGCGGCGACCCCTCATATTGTAGTGTGAAGGAGGAGAAATGCACGATAGGAGGAAGAGGAAGAGAAACCGGTGAGTGAATGCGTTGTTGATTTGGTGGTTGGGAAATGCTGGGGGGGGCGGGCCACCATAGACATGTATATATCTGAAACTGCCGATATACATATTACACCTGTATTCACGCTTGACGAATTGTTCGACGCACGTGTGCGCAACCACTCGGGAAAGGCAGTGCAAAGTGCGATCCAGTGAAAAGCAAAGCATCGCACAGCAGTGCAAACCAGCACAATTCAGTGCAAGTCAAAGCCGAACAGCGCAATGCAACGCATAAACAACAATGCACATCAATGTACTGCAATGCTAAATGCTGCAAATCAGCGCACCTTCGCGCATATCAGCGCAAAGCAATGCAGAGCCGCGAAACGCAATTCAAATCAACGCAAAGCAATGCACAGCAAGGCGCAGCGACGCAAAGCCATACAAAGCGACGCACGGCAATGCACAGAAATGCAAAGCAATGTAAAGCAACGCGAGGGGACGGCATGCGATTGCAAAACAGTGTCATTGCCATACAATTCAATGCAAACCATGCAAAGCGATGAAAGGCGACGCCAGGCAATACACCTCAAAACTGTGCAAAGCACAGCAAAGCATGGAAACAACAATGCAAAGCAACGCAAAGCAACGCAGAGCAATGCAATAAGACGCACGGCATAGCAATGCAGAGCAATGCCAAGCAACGCAGGCCCCGACGACGGGCGGAAACGAGGCGGCGACGGCGCGGCGACGGCGACATCACAGCCGCCAAACCGCCAGCAAGGCCCAGACGACGGGCGGCGACCAGGCGGCGACGGGGCGGCAACGGCGGCAGCATAGCCGCCAGACCGCCAGCCAGGCCCAGTCTTAGACCGCCGCCAGGCCCAGCCAGACTCCTAAGTGCAAGCACTGCTTGAGATGCACACGCACATCTATCTATATATCAACACGAACGTAATATATTTATACCAGCTTATGAATGTATGTATGTTTGTATGTATGTACATACATGTGTACATGTATATATATATACATACATATATACATATACACATATTTTATATATATATATATATATATATATATATATAAATGCGCAGGCATCTTAGTGAACTACATACTACATACTGCTTTGTACTGTCACGATCCCCTGCCCTGGGCGGTCCGGGCGGCTTGTGTGGTGGAATAGCGTTTCCTAGGGCGCGTTTTGCTCTAGGTTCCTGGGGCCTTCCACACCTGGCTCTCATCACAATCATCCCAGGCTTGCAGAAGGAAAGCTGGAACCAGTACAAACAGAAAGCTGGAAACGCAAACTAAGCTGTCTGGACTTGCCCGGAGGCCCCCTGGCGATTGCGGGGGGCCCTAACGGCGCTCGAGTTCCGGTAGAAGAGATGGCACTACAATATGTGTCATAACACTTGTGGACGATCTGGCAACGGCTTGAACACGAAGCTGGAAACAAAAAGCAACAGCTCAGCCCATGTGTTATACTGATAGCTGGTAGCCGAAGGCGCTGCACAATGCTGTTCAGGATGCTGAGTTGGACACTGTTAGCGACAACATCTGTACAAACCAACGCCCACGGCACCACTCACGCCATCAAAACACGCCTCCCTCCCTGGCCTTCCCGCTTTCTCGCCCCTCCATACCCTGCTGTCTGGAAGTCTACCTGCATGCGCCCCCCAGGACTGCCGAGCACCACCGAGGCTCCTCGCAGGCCTCGATTCTGTTCCCTCCTACTTTCCTCATGCGCATCTCAAGCCGAGGCCGACGACACCGACGCCAACTCCAACGCCTCCACCGCCGACGACGGCTGCGCCGGCGCCGACGACGAGAGCGGCAAGGGCGACGCCGACGCCTCCGCCGACGCCCCCGCCACTGGGGCCTCCAGAAGCCTGGCAAGGCCACGACCGCAGCCATCTCGGCCCACAGACGTCGAACATGGACGACGGCGACGACAGCAATGACGACGGCGACGGTTGCGCCGGCGGCGGCTCTGGCGGCGGCAACCCGCGCCCCCTCCCGACCCTGTCCTCGAGGGGCAAATTTGCTCACGCGGTCCATTCTTGGTGGCCTGGCGCTCGACAGCGGGCCCCGGACGCCGAGGTCGAGAAAGGACGCCCAGATAAAAAATCATTCCGCCAGAGATCTCTGACTGCGATGGTTTCGGTGACGGCGGAGGCAATCCGCGCCCTCAGAGCTCCCGACCCCTTCCCCGGCCGAGGCCGAGATTGAGGAAAAACGCCCGGACTGCAAAAATCAGACCGCCGCGGCAAAATGCGACGACATGATCTTCTCAACACGCGGCCCCCAGAAGTCCCGACCCGTTCCCCACAAACCAGTCCTTCACCCTGGCTCGTTCTGGGACCGTCAACGGGGGCCGAGGCCGAACCTCAAGAAAAAACGCCGCCCCGAGTTTTGCAGGACATTGCATGTCTGGGGTCTGGAGTTGCGGATCTGGGACTGCGCTGGTGGCGGCGACGGCGGCGGCGTCAGGCTGCGGCGCACGACCAGCCCCGCGCGCCCGCGCCGGCGCCCGCGCGGGCTC